GAGAGGATTCCCCCAAGTATGGCAAGTTCATATATCTCTCTACAGAGCTAAAGCCACTTTCTTTCACATTGCTCTCAGCAGTAGTTGCTACAACCCCTTCCTTATAAAAACAGGTTCCTTGTGATCTTGGAAACTATTCTTATATCTACAGAGGGGACAGCACTGACACAGTTTGCCAGTTCCACAAATGGAGAGTGGCTGCACTGTGGCTCCCCAAGCAAGGATTTGTTTGCAAGTGATGGAATGCACAGTGCAGCTCTGTAGTATATCTGTTGTAACCATAAAGTTTTAGAGCTCAAAAACCCTATGCAACAGAAAAGTTACATCCTTGGTCTTTCCACAACCCTGTTTCCTAGATCCAACAGTGTTACTAAGCCAGCCCTTGTGCCCTGTGTTCAGGCAGTTGAAGTTCACTTTGCTGCCACAATCTACCTGTGAAATTGCAGCAGGACTACATAATGACCTCCTCTACAGAGGTGGTGCTTTTCCTTGTCTTGAGAGTGGGTATTTTACAGGTTTATTCATTACTCATTGTCCTCATATATTGAACCTCTTGGCCTTCCTGTGCTGGGCCACTGATATAATCAGACAACTGACTGTCATCCATCATGATCCACTGCACCAGCATCAGAGATTGCAGGCCTGCTGATTATGTCCCTACTCTCAGTCAGCAGTGCCACAGACTTTGTCTGAGCTCATATAGAACAGCTGTGCTCCAGAGAAATATCCCCTCTAGGATGCCTGCATGTTTGCATCTATTTCTGAATATTACACTTGCTTCAGGCTGAGAAACATTAAAGCTTTCCTTACACCATGATTTAACTTCATGTTCCTCTTTATCCATAGCAAAACTGGTTTGAAAATTCACCTTCCTTGCCCTGCTCTCCTGTGCAGTGCCCTGCCCAAGACTATAGCATGCTGTCCCTTATTGTGCTAGGGTATCTGATTTGGACTCTTTCCTCAATGACGAGTGAAGAAAAGATTCTAATGGAATCTTAAAATGGCAGAGTCTTCTTTGGGAAGCCTTTTGCTCTATATTTACTAAAAGTAGAGGAAAAGGGGAAAGAAGGAATAATGGAAAATAGGGAAAGTACTATTAGACCATCAGCTGTACTGCTGATGAGCTAAACACTGTTGGGAAGACAGAGGAGCAGAGAAGCCTCACTGTGGCTACTGCTTCTTTAATAAGTTCTATCTAGGCTTAATATATTATACTCATTTAATACAATAGTTATTTTAATTACATTTAGAGGAATGTGGCTTTTCTTTTTTTCTAGACAAGGCAGAGATTGGTATGTGGGCCACCTTTGACTTGTGTCAAATCATATTGTCAAACCATTTTATACCATTATGTATTCTAAACACTACCAAGTGTATTTTATCCTACAAATGTGACCCCAAAACTTGAATCTGTTTGTTGTAAACACCTGGTCAAAAGGAAAATGGTACACTACAGCATGACCCTCGATGGAGTTTTCATATTTTGTTTATAATTGGGTCTATTGTTGCAAGCTCCTGTTACACACCAGCTATCAAATCTTCAGCAGGCATAAATCAGCACTCAGGTTAATGGAGCTAGACTGATCACTGCCAGATGAGGATACAGTTCTACTTGTAACCCAGGGATAAAATATAAGCTTTTCTATAGTGCTGAGAGCTAGAACAGGCTGGCTGGTTATTACTGGTTATAACCAGGAATTCACCAGTGCATTTCCACCCCAGTCCATGCTCCAACAACTAACTGCTTCTTCCACACATCTTTAGGGAAGAGCATTTATGGAAAACAACTTGAAGATATATATTGTTAGGATAAAGACCCATGGGCCAAGCTCAGAAGCCTCTAAAACTGTGTAAACTGTCAAAAGGATGATTACTTCTGGCAAAGGTCATTCCTGCCTACCAAAAGGGAAATGTGCATGTCCCCTTTTTCAGGGAAAGATACAAGGGCTTTCTTGTGTAAGCTATTTCCCAAGACCTTTCCTCTCTGAGCCTCCACAGAAAGGGATGGAGGTCAGACTTGTGGCAGGCAGGGAGAAGGACTAGAGAAACTGTAATTTTTCTTGATGTACTGATTTACTTTCTAATTAAGAATTCCTCTTAATAGAAAAATCTTCCAGAAACAGGAAGGAGCTGCAGGAATGGAGCTTCACTAAGCAGGTGTGGGTGGCAGAGCCTTCTTTTATTACTAATCAGCATAGTTATACCATTTATAGAAAAGGACATGAGGCTCTGAAGGAACTTTCTAAAGAACAAAAATACAGCCCTGCTTTGAAAAGCAAACGAGCGACATAGACTAGCCCATAAGAAAAGCCTCCTAATAATGCCTCCTCTTTCTTGGTGAAAGCAGGAGGTGAAAGTAGATTTACATGGTCCTCCCAAGGCATCTCAAATTCTGTTAGGAAGAGGAAGAAAGCCTGTACAGAGCTGAGCAGGACAGCCCTGTAATCCAGACTTCACAGCCTAGGGCAGCAGCTGACATTTGGCCATAGCGTGGGACAGGTACTGCTCAGAGGCCATGTGGTAGTCTGAGAAGCTGTGAAGCAGGACCAGAGTCCTGGCCCTTGAATTCTAAAGTGATATACGTACAGAGCTGGATGGGAGTTCCATGGGTGGAGCACATGGAACCAAGTATCAGGAAACCACTAAAAGAGAAATAACCACTTTTCTATGCAACAGAAAGTCTTCTATAAATGATCTGTAAGTGTATGCTAGGGCATGTGCTACACAGCTCTGAGGCAGCTTCATTCCAGGTCCCTTTCACTCGGGAGGTTAAGTCAGACACAGCAAAGCTAAGAAATGTACCCTCACTGTGTATACAGTTAATTTCAAATGAAGAAATAACACTTAAATGTCCAGATGCCCAGTCCAGAGTGTGAGATTTTAGGTTCCAGCTCCATTATTTCAGCTAAAGGTGATTCTTTTAACAGCAGATGATAGTGTCATAGATACACACTGGATGTACTAACTGCATGTGGTAGATGAATGTAATACAATAACTGAATATAAAAGCTTTCCTGTTTTTCAATGTGTGGTTTGCAAGAAGAACAAGTGATTTATTTTTTTATTGGCTCTCTAACCATTCTAAGATCAAAGAGCATTAGGTCTTATGAAATAAACAAAAAGCTCTTGAAATTAAATAAATTAGGAAAGCTTGCACTTACAAAATATGTTTCTTTAAAAGGTTGCAGGGTAGTGAAACTTTCCCTGAGCCTTTGGCTTCATTAGGATAATTAAAACCAGCAGTACAGTGCTTTCTAGTTGCAGTAACATTAGGCAGGCAGAAGGTGTGCCCTGCACTGGACTATGCCTGGCAGTCTTCATTTCCTGACTATGGCACAGTCTGGCTTCTGCCTCTGCAGCCACAATTCTACTTCTCATATTTCTTCCCTTAGTAATAATGCAGCCGAAATGCCTGTCCCACACGTATGTTTTATGTAAAGCATGGTTAATATTGAAAGTGTTATTTGCATCTCAAGATAGTGGAGTCTTTTCTGACTAGGAGGCAGGTTTCTTGCAGTTCTGTAAGAAACATATTCTCTTTTCCATCCAGTTATAATGATCATGTGAGACGTGACAACAGAACAGGAGTGCAGGACCAAAAGCCATCTGTTTCTTTTTTGGTATTTCATATTGCATGGAGCAAGAAAGTGGCAAAGCTTAAATGCTTAAACATGGCGGTATAAAACATGATAGTAACATTTAACAGGCTGTAAAGAAATGTCTGAACCAAAACCAGATTTTCTTTTTTGGTTGGTTTTACCACGACATCTTACCACAGCTATAGTAAAACTGGCTGCTACTTGTGCTTGTGAAAACTTTGCTTTCAAGATATTTTACATATTTAGTTTAGGCAGTGCAGTGGGTGGAAAGCCAGCTTCCACTCCTGAAAATAAGTAGTTTCATCTTCAAAATTCTGAAACTGCCTATTATTATTATTATTATTATTATTATGCACTGTGCCATTCTTTAGACTAATTTTATAAGTAAAACTTGGTTTGACTTTAAAAACTGCAGTTTACTGCTAATTCTGGAGTTAGAATGTAAATGCTGAATAGACTTTGCTGATATTTAACTTTATTAAATGTAGCCTTTTGCATGCACGGCTAGGCTTTTGACATTCTCAGGTATGTCCATACCAAAGCCTAGCAGCATTTTACTCTGCATTTTTTTCCAACCAACTGTGTTTTGTCATTTTTATTTCTGCTTGCCATATGACTTTCTCCTGTATTTACCCAAAGTGTGCTTTTCCCCGTGCAGAATGAATTATGGAAATTTAATCAGTAATAAGCTCCAGTGGTAAAGTTTAAAAAACATACACTGCTGTTAGATTTGAAATCAAGACACTGAAAAAAAGGGTTTGCACACACCTTGTGCTAGCATTAACACTGTTACACCCAGCCCTTTCCCTGCTTTTCTCTCACACATTCTGTGCCTTTGCAGCCTTCAACTGCATCATTTAGCTGTAGTACCCCTACTGTGGATGACCAGATTAAAAAGTACCGCCATAAATATTCCTAGAACTTAAAAAGGAAAGGAACATAATTGCCCTCTCTTTCATCTCAGGACTGAAGTGCCTTTTCAATCAAAGAGATTTCCACTGCTTGCTAAAGACTATTCAGATGAGAAGAATACGTTTGGGATATTTGGGCTAGTTAGCCCTCACTTCCCTTTTTTCTGTATTAACAGAATAACCCTCTTTGTATGATCACCCAATTTTTCTAGACCCTTGTAAAAGTTTAGGTCAGTCTTGGAATCCTGTGCTTTTGTTGGCCTGTCACCAGCTGGATCACATTTGTAGTCTATTTTTCCCCTTAACTATTTGCATAGCCCTCTTTCTTTTTTCTGGTGCAAGCCAGAATTCCTGGAAGCAGTTTTTACTGCCTGCAGGATCTCGAAGGCCGCCTTCTCCATGGGCTCTTTGACTGGCTGAATGCCACACCACAATTTATAATTTATTCAGTGGATCCATTAGTGATTCTCTGTGTATGTTTTTTGTCTAGACTGAGGAAGGGCAAAAAGTCACTCCTCCTTAATCTGCTTGGGAGCTGTCAGAGAGAGGCATCTTCTCACAGATACAAGTAGTGACTGCTGGCTTTAACACAATTGCACAGGAGTTTAAAGATATTTACTCTTCAAAAGATACTACAGTATATCAAAAAAGGAGTTCTGGGCTATATGTAACCAACATTTTCAGCAGCTGACTGAAGAACAAGTAAGAAACCTATATTATTTTGTCTTGTTAATTTAAGTGTACAACTGGGTAAATTGGCTGTGGCTAGAGACATGTGTTTGTATACTGTTGTGTATAGGCAAGTAGTTTAAAATTTTGCATGAAATGAAAATGTTTTAAGGCTATCATTCCAGGAACATTTGTTGCTACATTTGTGGGAGATTATTTTTTCCTTATCTCTGAGTATGGCTATGTACTATAATAATCGCAGGCTTTCTAAAGCAAAGTCAGGAAGATGCTACTGCTAATAACAAAGGTGTGAATTTAAAGCACAGTAGTTCTCTTTCACTAGGTCTGTATCTGTATATTTGCTATTTCAAAAGTTTCTTTAAAAAAAAAAATTTAAATTAATATACTTCCAGTTGATGGGGGAAAAAAGCCTTCTCAGTATGGAATAAAAGGTATTTCCATGGGGAGCTCATTCCTTTAATGCAAATTCCTTTTTTCTCAGTAGCTATTTTGAACTGCTTGGACAAAGAAAGAGACAAGCATTTGACATTTCCTGGCCACCTTTCAGCCACTTTTCTGGGTAAAAGATTCCACCAGATTAGTGTTAGCAGAGTTTATGTAACCCTGAATTTAGCTTGAATGACTGAAGTCATGGCATGAATCTGCCAGTACAAATTGTCTTATTAGCCTAATGCTAGTCTCAGGGCAACCTGAGAGGCCAGTCTTTCATAACATTCTGCTTCTGCTGAATTTAGAATGAAAAGAACCATATTTTTATCTTTGTTAATGCTGGTTCAGTGTGTTTTTTCCTAGTCCAAAGATGAGGTGAGTAATAAAACAGAGGGAACCTTGACTAAAAGATTTCAGATTTTACTTAGCAGCATTCTAACCTTCATGCTCATGATTGCATCAATGCCATTTGGCAACAAACTGAAAGACAAGACACAGAGCCTCCAAACTCATATGCATGTCTGCACTACAGAAAGATATTTTGGTACTTTGCTCATTACAGGTATACCCTCTAGCCCAGCATTTTTTACTATAAATTGCAGACAGGAGCAGGGCCTGCTTGTGATTGCAACAGAGAGATTGCACAGTCTTCCATGTTATCAGGTGCTGCTGCACATGTGTAAAGTTGCAGATGAAAGCACTCTAAAAATTAAAATATATCTTCCATTTCCTTCTTGAAAATAACAGAAAACCCCAAATGTCCTATGTGCTCTATTCCTGCATACTCTATTCCTCACCACACTTCTCGTGAGCAACTAAGTGCAAGTGCTTTATTTGAACCTGAAGCCTCAACACCAGTTGAAAGCAGAAGTGAAAATGTGGTGATACTCTTTCCTCATCCCTGTGAACCACTGACCAGAAGTACTGGGGTGAGCTCGCAGCTGAGCCCTGGCCAAGGCAGGAGAGCACACACCTTCCTGGGATGTGAAAAATATCTTCGTTTTTTCTTATTTGCTTTTTTTTTTTGGAAGCATAAGGCAGGCATCTCCAGCTGAAAAGTCCTCCAGACTAGATCCTGTCTACACTCAAGAAGCAGCAAAGGGACACAGGAGCTATTTTATACTTTAAAGAACCTCAGGCAAGTGAATAAAAAAAAATCTCGATAGAAACTGTCATCCGTAATAGCAACGAGAAACAGGCCTGAGGAGCTTCATTTATATAAACAGCAGCCTTTGTGTGAGTGAGACTCAAGCCCTGTATTTCCAGAGATATTTTGATTTTGACAGGCTTCTCAAAGATATGCCTACGTATATCTATATGAAGATGCCCCAGGAGCGCCTTCCAATCTGGGTACAGGTTTCGCCACTGCTAATCCAAACCCCTGCCATTCTGGCTGTTGTCACTGCTTAGAGTTGTTACAAAAGTGTTTCTAAAGTCACAGCCTGGATGACTTCACAGAAAACATCTTCCTTTATTCTTTCCTGGATGATCGCCACTTACTGTTTGCTATTAGCAAGGCTCAGCTGCAGTCTGCATCGAGCAGTGAGTGAAGAATTTTTTCCTGAAGTCTGGGTTCTTGGTCTTCTTGGTCTTTCAGAATTTCTGATACTGTGACCTTTTTCATAAAAGGCTAAGGATGGTAAAAACTCTGCAAGCAAGGTGTTGATTAATATCTCACCAGCTGGCAGCCCCTTTTTATCACAGGCGCTTTTTTTGCTTGAACTCCCTTGACTTGCTTGAACTATCGGCAATCCCCCAAATGGCTAAACTTTGTTGGGTGTTAAAATCATTTCTCTAGCTAATCCAGCTCATCAGGGTATTGTTCTATTTAATTGAAGTTTGTAATACACTTTGAGATCCCCGTATGAAGTGCAAAGTATAATCAGAAGCGCAAAATAGAATTGTTTATAATTCATAATGTGGTAGCAGCCAGGCCAATGGGGGAAAGTTGAAAGGAAATTCAAAATGTATCCTTTGCCCTTTGAAGTTTGACTGCAACTTGGCACATGCATCAAAGAGGTGACTAGTTTCCTTTAGGGTTTAAGTCTTTGCCAAAAAAGATCAAATCAAAAGGAATCTGAGGTTCCCAATTAGATTTATATTAAAAATCAATAATGAAGACCCTATAAAGGCATACTGATGACTCTTGAAACACAAAATGAGTGCAACTTATTTAAGGGCAGGCTGTGCTAATCCTTGCTTTGATTAGTAGCTTATATCATGAGTAGTCCCATTTAATTCAGTGCAGCTACTTACTGAATAAATTGCTGTTCAGCAGGAAATCAACTCAGTTGATTCCATAGGATTCCATACAAAACCCAGAAGGTGGGCTACCTGCCCTGTGCCAGGCCAAGTAGCCACATGAACCTCCATGGGCAGCAGAAACAAGGGTATCAGCAGCTGCCCCCAGGTCTTCTGTAGGCTGGCTGTACATCATAACTATATGTGATTCTCAAGGCTGTAAAGATTTCCTGCTATGTTCTTTCATGCTGATTCATTTTTTCCCTCAGGGTGGAATAATTTGTTGATGCAAATACAATAACTGAGGAACCTTAATGGCCTCCTGAGATGGTGATATAAACTTAGGTGTACCTGATAGAGTGAGAAATTTGCCTCAGTGGTACTTAACCAGGATATAGGTGCATCATGTATTTGATTTACATCTCATGTTAAAGCGCTATCCTTCTATACTGCAGCTCAATCACTGTGTCTAATCACAGGGTTTAGTAGTTGAAACAGCACACTAAGGGCCCAATTCAATTAAAAAATGTCCTGCAGAAATCCTTTTTTTTTTCATTGTTTTTCCAGCATTGTGCAGGCTTCTGCAGAGAAGCTTTGATTTTATTTTTTTTTTAATAAGATGAGCCCTAGGATTCCTTATATTCCGAAGCATCCTCACACTTTTTTAATACATGTTTTGTCATATTATTAGCACATAAAGGGATTCTGGTTTTGTAAAACTAGAATTTACAAAAGCCATCTTTTTCTTCATTATTAGTTTGAGAATCTTTGGAACACCTTGGATGTCTGTGGTAGTGGACAGTTGAAATAACAGGACTTTTTTGAAGAAGTTCAGCTCTGAACTTCTAACAGTATCATCAAGCACTCCCTGCAGCTTCTACCAAGTCAGCTACTACCTGTGCAGTGCATGATCCACACATCTCTTCTCAGGCTGAACGTCCCAAGACATCATCTTCTCCAGTGCAAAACAGCATGTGTTTTTTCTGTGAATTTTCTGGATTTTCTGGATTGTGAATAGGTTGAAAATAATATCTGTGGAACTCAGTGAAAGTATTCTTATTGATTTCCCATGAAATCAGACACAAGCACCTGCCAATTAGCAAACAAGGTAATTTGCAAAACTGTGTTACAATGACGAAAATTGGGCTAGGCAGTAACTCTACTGAAGTCAAAGGATATGTGGCAATGTTTACTAATAGCATTCCCTGCTGTTAGCATATGCATATCCATCAGTGCTGTGCAGCTAATAAAATTTCTGTCTTTAAGCACAATCAGATTTCTGAAAACAAAGACAATCCAAACTCCAAGTGCCCAATAGCTGCAAAAGCAGCATACAAAAATGTAGACAGCTTATCTGTGATCATCTGACAAAGCTAGGCAGGATTGGCAGTTGCAGTTTTCCTAAAGTGTTTGCTGGCCTGTCCTAAAACATTCTGGTGGTCTTGCCTGCTTTCTGGTAGTTACCAAACAATAGCTGTTAATGCCTGATGGTCTGACTGATGGACTTACCATGAAGGACAGTGATCCAAGGGAGGTAGGAGAAATGGATTAGGAATGCAATAGTTTTGCTTCATTTTTGCATCCAAACCTGTACTTCCTGTCAATAATGCAATTTGGTTCTCTCCACTGCCATGCTGGCCTCTTACCCAAGTGTTAGAATTCACAGAAAGATGGGGAAATCACTACAGGAATTGAAATATCCCACTTGCGGAGCTGCACCTATTTATTCTAGTTCTTCAGCTACAACCAAACCTACAACAGAAAAATAAAATATTTAGAATTATTCAGTGCCTGGAACATGCTTGGATTTTCTGACTACTGCTACATGGAGATGTTTAGCTACTGAAAAAAAAATAACAGATTGAGCAAATTAAAGATGCAAACAACTTGTCAGGGCTGGTAAAACTAAACGTTGTCCCATCTCTGGCTCAATTATTGCATTAACTATAGGTTCTTTCTTGAAAAGCCCAGACAATTGCTTACATGCATCCTTTAAGCTTTTATCCAGTTCCCAGTGAAAGCAACAGAAAATTCCTTGTTACTGCCTGTGAATGTTAGATTGGGCAGTAGGAACAGAACTTAATTCTTCCCAAACTTACAGCTGTTGGAAAGACCCCAGCCAGCCTGAACACCAATCAAGATGAATGTTCCTGCAGCATTCATTGCATGGGTATATGTGTGAAGCCTCAGCAAGTCTGCACCAATGAGACCCTGAAGTCTCACTAAATATGAGATTATACACTGGATCTGGAAGCATAAATACCAATTATGCACGTCTCACAGGCTGAGACTTTGCTCCCAGCTCACCTACAGTACTTCTGAGGCAGCAGTCAAAAAGACACTGTTCACCAAGATCCTCTCATACTCCTTCTGTGGTTCTGCGTAGGACCACTGCAGAACTGAGTCCTCCCAGTAGCAAATCAAAGCAATGTTATTTCATAATTCAGTGACTGTCATTGGTTTGTGTTTGGTCTAAGATGGTTCTACACAGCTTTTTTTGACTATGGTATCTGTTGTTTAATACAAAACATCAAGACAAATTAAGAAAAAATGATCAAGGCCCGCTAAATGTACAGTGTCATTTTGACACTAAGAGTGTTCTCACATTTTCACCTACAGTTTTGCAGACCAAATTCAAACCAGACTTAGAAGTGTCCCAAATGGTACATTAATCTCAAGCCTGGAAGACCAGAAAATGGATTTGTCATCTGGTGATTTGTCTACACAACCAGTAAAACTCAATAGAAAAAAACCCAAACAGCATTATCTTTTGCTTTTAGAAACCAGCATCCAGTTGTCCTCAGAAAACTTGTTCTGCACATGGCCTTAACTGCAAAACAATAGAAAATAGGATAAGAAAGAAAATGAAACATTCCTGGAAAGGGATACTGAAAGTGTGCAAAGAGAAGTATATCAGCAATGTAGGAGAAATCCCACTGTCAGACTTCCTAGGTTTGTTACCATCTGAAAAGTGCTTTATTCATTCTCAGGTGTGTTCTGTTGCCTTTCTGGTGTCCCAGCCATAGGAACATCTGGCCTGAAGTAAGTGCCACCCACTGCATGATTTCTCCACCTTTCTATTGCAGAGCAGAATAGACTTGGGTGCAATACATTCACATTCCTATTCAGAATTAGCTACTCCTTAAAAAAGGAGTGCATGGCTTTGCTTGTGGGTACGTTAGCATGCATACAAGTTCCTCATTACCTTCCCAATTCACTATACTTTCTGTGCCTGGGGATATGTCAGTAAATAGATTCGCCAGACCTTTCCTTGTGAGGTTGTGTGTGTTTCTGGTTGCACTGGTTTCAATGCTCAACACCTGCTGATTTGAGAGGACCCTGGATTTTACTCTTAGAAGCACACACATTTGTGTGTGTGTGTGTGTGACGATTGCACACCTGTATAATCAAATGTAAAGTCATGGCTATAAGAACATGTTAGCTTATCAAATCTTTTATCTCAGTTAACATCAAGGAATACTTCTTGCGCATTTAAAATCAAAATGACATGTTATCAGTCCGCTGAAACCATGTAAAAAGTGAACTACTGCCCCATAGGTATATGCATATGCATATACCTGCATGTAGCAAGAGCTGCATAACACACAGCAGTCACTGCAACTGATGACCTGGTAGCATATCCCAGGTAAAACTTGTGAAGATAGGACAATGACTGGCTATTTTTAAGAATGACAAAATTAATATTCTTTCTTTGCATTTCTGATGTAGCAGGGAAATTCAATTTGGATTTAAGTGAAGGGGAGATTAACCAAAAACAGCAAAATATGATTCCAAGAAAAATGGAACATTTGCATACTATGACTTTCTTCAGAGTTGTGTCTTGTTCTTAAAACCAAAGGAAACCTCGCTGCTGAAGAGGGTGATTATACAGAAGCCACAAGAGCCGGTAGGTACACAGCTCATAAAAATCAAAGCAAAATTCCTTTTTTTCAGTTTCTGCTATACTGAAAAGTTATTTCATGGCCCATTTTTACAGTCACTTTTAAACAGTGATTTTCCTTTCTCTTATTTAATACCATGGTACTAATTGCCTAGTATTCATTTGGTATCTCTTTCAGTTAGAGCTCCTTGGGAACATACTCGGTGTATCCAGGTTATAAGGTAAATTGGCCAAATTTGCTAAAATTTGAATACTAATTCCAAATAGAAAACATGGGAGCTGACAGTTTAAGAGCTTTTGCTGAACTAAATGAAATCAAGCTAGAAATCAAAAATGCATGGGATGTGTCTTAGGATGACTCCAATTTGTCATCAGTATGCCTCTGCTCCACACCCAGCACCCTAAGAAAAGCCCAGAAGAAGCTCTCACTTGCAGTGCTGTTAATGGACATTAAAAATATCTGTTATCCAGGACTGGTCACACATATTGCGCCCTTGCAGCTCTCCCTGCCACATATACCATCTCCCTAAGCTACAATGAAGAGGCAAAAGAGCCCCAGCAAAATGGCTACACACAGGCTGTTTTCCTCTGCCTGCAGTACTGCTTTAGGGCAGAAAAGATCAGAAGAGACACTGAAATCTGGCTCTGGTGGGCCAGAAAGGAAGGCGTTGGTAATAGCATCCCAATCAAGTTATGTAGTAGGAACGGTGCCAAATTCCAAATCTGCTCATTCAGCGAGCCTGCTACATTTTTAGGCTGTTTCTGACTGTGCCTAATTAGTTTAGATATGGTTAGTAGCAGCATTTTATAGAGAAATCACATTACTGAACTGTTTTCACATGTGGAATGAACAGATTGCTACCAAGGTATGAAGAGAGTATCATTAGGAATTACCAAGTATTCACTACCAGGAGGGACAGTAAGGTAAAACCATTAAGTTTTGCATTAAAGAACTTCATTACCTTCCATAAGATCTTCCTTTATACACAAACTTGATGTTGTAAAATTCCATCCCAGTGTTCTGGGGTGGATAAAGCAGTAATTATTAAATCCTTATGTAGTTGTCTCAAATAATTTTTATTTTATTTATTCTATTCAGAAAAAAATAATGAAGGTCTCAGTCCATGTTCTGAGCACCTTTATATAAGGTAATATGCAAAGCAAAATTTCCTCATAAACTGTTCAGTCCATTTCACCTAATAAGTGTACAGATACACATCAAAAGGAATCATAAAACCCACAAATAAACCATTTTTCTTTCAGTGGCAGGCACAATTCCTTCTCTTTCTCAAAAGCCTGAGAGAATCAATGGCCTAGGGCTTCATGGAAGCATCCAGGCTCTGAGCAATGAAAATAACCTATGTTGTAGTCACCATAAAGCGCTCTTTCCCTTCCTTCAGCCCACAAGGGGGGCTCAGTACTTTGGGTTGGAAACTGCATTATTCATGTACCCACTCATTCCTTAGCTATATAGTCTGTCAGAGTAATACCCCAAGAGCACAGAAAGATGGTGCAGCTGCCTCCCAGGCCTCTTATAACACATGGAGGTGCAGCACAGCCTCTGTGCGTTCACAAAGCAGATGTATAAAGTCAACTGTGTGCTTCCTTCACACGCAGATGCTTGTGGAGGCTGCAGTGGCACGTGCAACTGGCACCCAGTTACAATAATAAATACCAGGAAAGTGAGATGGAGATGGTTTGGTTTGGTTTGGTTTAATTTTTAGAAAAAGGTAGTAGAGCAGGTCCAGAGCCTGCAGGTGGACTGGGGCTTGCTGGCTTTGGGAAAAGTCCCTTATCACACCAGTGTTAAAGCTTTGTACAAGTGGAATTAATTTTGCCTTAATGAATAGTTCTGCACTTCTTGGGTGTTCAGGGTACACCAGTGTAATGAGTTTAGCCAGGCTAAAAGCAGCAGGTCACAGCACGTCCTAGTGAAAATTAACCTTATGGACTTGTGAAAACAAAGGT